GTTTCTGCATTATTCAGGTGACGATGCTTGCAGCATACTTTCCTTAAGGCAAAGGGTAACTGCAAAATACACTTTTACATAACACCATGTTATGTGACTGTGTAAATGGATTGGCCTGGGTTCTATCGAGGTTCCGAACAGGGTATTGATGGAATGAACATCAGAAAGCGAGGTCTTTGATGCTCATGCACTCCGCCTCACTCAGTTCGATTCTCTTACCTTCTACTACATTAGTAAATAAAATACCACTCTAATCGTAGCCCAAATAACATGGTGGGAAGCCTACACGGAAATTTATCCTGTGTTACAAACAAGTCACCTTTTACACCAATTCCCTCTATACCTCTGTTACTAAGCAGTTAACCGCTCATTTAAAAAGACGTCAATTTATGCGCTCAAATACACTCCACACCTACAGCTACAAATGCGTGTGCGATCACTTTTACATGTGGCGCCATACCTGTTCTAGGAAATCACCGTTTATCGGCCGACCAGTTAATCATTTAAGTCGTTTATCAATGAAGCAATAAGTCAAGTGCATGTCCAAATCGCACTTTGAAGAATGTTTGAACCGCTCCTGAGTTGTTCGCAGTATGCACAAAATTTGCCACTCCAATTTTAACGCCACCAACAACTCTTCCCAATTCTTTATTTCTCTTCTTGTCTACTATCAATACTGCATTCGGCAGTCCCATTGTCCAGCTCTTGGTTCTTTCACACTCACTCAATACATGTAGATCTTGAGGTCCGTTTCCCTCTGGATGCCTTTACACATGAAAGTAAACGTCTTCTCGTCTTACCAAAGCTATCTAGATAATTGCTTTTACTGCCATCGAGAAAATCACAATCGGTACTGACTTAGTGATCCTATTCCTTTTTCAGGCATTCGTCCTCTATGCTAGCCACCAATCACCTATCCTTCTCTGTCTCTGCATTCTCATCTGCCTCCGCTCCCCTTACTCCTCCAACCTGCATCCACAGTTGCAACCAGTAACAGGATATTCAACGCCCCGTCCTTTGACACCCATTACCTCCTGTTCCATGACCTCTGTCGAACATAGCCTATTGCCAGCACAATTTTCTCTTAACAAAATTATCGAAAATGTTGGCAAGTATCTCTCTTCCCCTTACATACTCCAGCCTTCAGTCTGCTTCTTTTACTTACTACTAATCATCCACATTTTTACACGTTATCAGGTCCCATCTGTATCAATCAGTTAGGAGTGTGGTCTGACCGACCAGTACTGCCGTGTGGGGCTTGATGACGACAGCACTGAGTGACGAGGAAGGAGTCCGAGTATAACCTCTCTGACTACCTGGCTATGAGCCGGTGGTTAGATATGCATAAACAGACGGAGATGTGGAAGTTGTCATTCTCCTCGGTGACATGCACTGCCATCATGTCGTCAACCCTATCCACTGTGTCAGTCGCGTTGGTATTGGAATTAAGGCTAACTCATTCTCAAATGAGACAGCTTTGTGACATTGGGTTCCGTTTAAAATACAGCATAAATAAAAATACCTGCAGTCGAATGGGCAATTATTCGATTTATGTAAGCGAAAGTATAATGAAGATGAGGGGGTAAGTAAAATAGGCTTAAAGAAATCAGAGACGATTAAAAATAGTGAGAAACTTTGTTTAGTTCAGGCAAAATGCACTGACATTCATTACATCAAAAGTTGCTATCAGCCTACGCACTGAAGAGAGTCGTTGCCTCTTCCATCAAGGACTGCTGGATATTTGAATCCGTCATCATATTCATCTCCAAACGTAATCTGATCCACAATTAAGTGATGGATAGATGACTTGAAGGAAGTTTGGCTCCTTCCAAAGCGTCATAACTATCAACATGGCTTTTAATCAGGTTGACGGTTTTAAGAGCAGACATCGTTTTCAACGAATAGTGCTGGCCCAATGCAGTCAGGCCAATTAAACTCTAAATTCAACTAATAAAATATCACTACTATTATCAAATAAATGACACCGCATACTGTTTTCTGACATGTGTTAACACATTTGGCAACGGCTTCTCTTTACTTTTTCATTCAAACAATGCCCCAGCAAAAGATAATTATAACTATTTTTGCAAATTACTTCCATAGCTCTCGTACTTCACGGGGTAGAGGTGTGTTTCCTTCTGAATGCCTTTACACATGGAAGTCGACGTCTTTTCGTCCTACCTCCCCTATCTCCACAACCGCTATCACTGTTATCAGGGAAATCACAACTAGTGCTGACTTAGAGATCCTATTTCTTTTCCGGTGTTCCACCTCTACGCTAGTCATCAATCACCTATCCTCCTCTGTCTCTAAATTCTCGTCTGCTTCCGCCTCCCCTATTGCTTTAACTCGTATCTATAATTGTGACTAGTAACAGGGTATTCACCACCCTGCACTTTGACGTCTGTTGCTCCTGTTCCATGGCCCCTAT